TTAGAAATTTGTCCATTTCATTCTTAAAATCGTTGACGTTTATTATTTTATTAAAAGAGCAATATGTTCCGAAAGAAAAAAAATTATGTTGTATCTGAATAGTGTTTTAGCTACCATTAAAAATATTTTTTCGGTTCCACCGGTTCCGGTTTCGGTTCCATCATCTTTTATTTCACGGTTCCGGTTCCGGTTTCGGGTAGCAGAAATTGAAAAACTCCGGTTCCGGTTCGGTTTTCGGTTTTATTTTTTTCGGAACCGCAGGGCTCTAATTTATTGAAATAGATTTTTTGTAATGAATAAAAGTTACTTGGAAAAATGTTCAATATCATTCTCTGCATTATATAACTGTTTCTTCATTTGGATATTAATTATCTTTTTCAAGACATACAACAACATCAAAGAAATGCGCAGATCAAAGGGGAGGGGAAGAGAGAATGTAATATTTGAACGTATTCTCTCCTAGCGAAGCAAGAGAGAAGAAGAGAGCTAGATAGATGAAACGAACGAGGCCGCTCTTAGCAACAAATGAGATAATATATGGCTATTTTTTTACATGTTTATGGCCAACAAGCGAATGTTGAATAAGGCACATTGTTTGATAGCACTTAACTTTCTTTAGTGGAAAGAGAAGTTGAACTAGTGAATCTTCCTTTTTACTTGCATGCCCCAATCGGCAGTCTTGTGATAGATTACTGACTTTATAATTGGTAAATCGATTGGAAAGATAGTGACCAAAATCGTTCTGCGTAAGAGCCAGATCGTTCAAATGACAATAGGGTTTCTGTTTAATATGAAGATTATTTATCATTTCTTGTGCATGTCTCCTTGTACCTTTTCTGACACGTGTTAGGGAACCTAAAGAATAAGTCAGCTCTTTCAGTGCAAAGAATAATTTTCGACTCTTACCAAGTTCGTTCTCGAATTGAAACGTAGTGAAAGTGTGAACTGGTCCAAAGTCGTGAATGGTCGGTGTGAGTGTGGGTGGGTGGGTCTAGCTGTACATTTCAAAAGACACACCCACCCACACCCACACACACACTACACCCTTACCCACACCCACACCCACACACACACCGCACCCACACCCCACACCCATCAGATTGCTACTTGACTGTTAACGACAAGTATACTTGTCAAAGCAGATGGCAGAAGGGGGTGGTATAAGGAGAACATTTTCAAAAAAAGCTTCACAGTCAAGTGGTTAATATGTTCTTTTATTTTAGATGCCGTAACTTTTTACTTTACTGTTTGCATGCATGATAACTTTCTGATAAAAGGCCGTTTGTTAATCTAAAATGCTATTTTTACGCTTGAAAATTCTCGAGTTGTCAGGAGTGTCAGTGTTTATATGTAATTGGTAGTGGATGAGAAAGAATATGGATATTGATGTGAATATCAGTGAGTATGACTTTCATAATCACACGTACATTGCTCACCTATAACCGCAAATCTTCAGCATTGAAGGTTTACCTAGAGTTGATGAAGAATCAACACATTATCTCGAATCTAGTGAAATAATATCAAGGCAATTTCTTGAATTACGTCACTTCTTGGCGACCTCTGTCTTTTCCTATAATAAACAGTTGTTATTATTGGCTCATCATTTACTCTCAAACTTGAGGATAATATAGTTGAATGATCTCAAATTCTGTTTAATAAAAAATGTCAACACTGTTCACGTTACCACAAGGCTCACATTACATACATTTTATCTTACCATCAATTAAAATATATTATAAGCTTGATACTTTATTAACCAACATATCAACAACAAATAGTAATGAACAACGTGTGATTGTTATTGCTGTTGAGCATATCAATCAAAAACGTCATTTTTGTGTACTCAAAAAAGTGAGTACACTTCTAGAATCGGTCAGTGTGGCCGGCCGTATGCACGATAACGTTTGAAAGAATAGTCCGATTGAGCTGAAATTTTGTGCACAGTTTAATCTTATCTAGATCTCGGTCGAGTTCGAAGATGAACCTAATTGGCTAGGCCATTCCCGAGTTATTGTAAAAATACTGATATTTCCCTATGATTTTTTCATATTTTTTTTTTTTGAAAAAAATAACTTAGTGCTGTTTACGAATAAAACCCCATGTATTATATGCCATTCAATAGAGAATTTCATGGGCTATAACATGGTACTAAATTATAGGAATAAATGGGTTGGTCTGAAGGTTGCCCCTGTATGACAGGGTAGGTAAACTATAGAAAATTTATATATGTGGACAATATGTCAGCGCGATATTTGTTTGTTTTTCATATTATTAATAACACTTTTTTAAGAGTAGATAGAACTCGTCAAGAGCTATAAAATGATGTTAAGTAATAGGGGGTAATATGCTGTGTTCGATATGTCTTCAATATCACACTTACGAAAAACCATAAAAAAGTCATATATCTTAATAGTGTGTCCGTGTGATATTCGTTTGTTCTCCATAGAGTGTACGTTATTTTTATGTACTCGAAAAGTGAAGTTCACGATACATTGATTTTGATCAATCTGTCTAAAAACGTTCATCCTTGAGCGCACTAAGGAACTGCCCCTTAGGCCCTGCGGATGCCCTCCTTTTGTCCCGTAAGACGCGGCGAGGAGTTAGTTCCGAAGGTTTTATTCATTTGCATAAATGAAAACTTCTTTGCTTTAACTGAGTCGCTGTTCTTTTTATACACTCATGTTAATTAAGTCAGAGCGGGTACAAATTGTTGAGGATTATTTCGAAAAGGTAAAAGAGCATCATAATGAATGCCATTATAGTAAACACAAAATCCTAGTTTATTCGTATCGGATTTGTATCCTATATATTTTAGATGATAGCCTGCTGTCCCTTTATTAAATCGATCGATTAGTTCTTGTAAACTAATATTCGATGGAATATAATGATCATATGTTGGATTGCTGTCAAACTTCGTATATGAATAGATAGGATGAGAGAGAGCCATAGAAAGCGCTTGAACTTGAACTTCTCCACCCCATTTTGTATTCGTAGCAGTTCGTATCAACTGTTCCTCAAACGAATACCACAATACTGTACAAAGTCTTTGGAAATAATCGCTATTATTCAGCATTGCATTGACTGCCAACAATCTCATCGAATGAGTTAGTTTTTCAGATCCTATATGCAATATAGAAAGAGAACTGTATAAACAATTGCCATCTGCAGTCGTGCGAGTTCTAGCATAAACTGAATCGAACGCTTGAACAGAATATTCTGTTCCCAATTTTAACCGGACAGATTTGTCTCTATTATTCATAGTTATAAATGGTAATTTTTTAATCAAGTCATTGATTATTTGAGCTTGAGTTGAAATCTGATTTGAATCTGTAATATTATCAAACTCAAGTGCACAAAGAAAGTGATTTAGAATTTTTCTTGACTTTGAATCAATGATTTTATAGTCTTCGGAAAAAGATTGTTCTTCAATTTCCATCATATCAGATGGTTCATTAACTTTAAGATCTTCCAACTGAAAAGACATATCTAAATTAGTTTGTTCGTTTTTATCGACTGTTTCATGACGATCGAAAAAGAATTCCTCGTCAACTTCCATCACGTCAGATTGATCATCAAGTATACCATCATCGATATTGAAGTGTATTTGTATGAATGTCTTCGGTTTCATCAAAATGAAACTTACTCAAAACTTCATGTTTTCTTATCCATATTGGTTTATGAAAACTTGTAAGACTTTCAAAATAATCAGACTTTAAGCCTTTCACATTAGTAAAGCAACAATCAATCTGTGTTTTTGCATTAGTTGAGCTTTTATTTAATTTATTAATCAAATTAAATCCGAATGATTTCATGTATTCAATAAATTTGTTATTGGTTTTGACTTTCAAATTTATATTAAAATCACCAACGACAATTATATTTTCATAAAATCCTTTTGAAATAGTTATCGCTTCATTTATATGTCGCTTTAGGACATCAAATGATGAATTAGGTGAATTGTAAACGGAAATAATACAAATATCATCAATTTTTATTGAAGAATATTCAATATGGTTTTTGCCTGAATATTCATATTTTTCGGTGATATTTTCATATGTCAAATCATTTTTTAAATAAGTAATTTGACCGAATGGTTTTCGTATATCATTACAATCACGTCTGTGAATGATTTTAAAACCTTCAATCTCCAATGAGTCACTATGTTTTGTCCATGTTTCAACAAGACTTATCATGGAAGCAGACAAAAATGTTTTATCAGATCTGACATCGAAAATATGTTTATTCAACGATTGTACATTATGAAACATCACGAAAAATCGTTCTTCTTGAGATTCTTCAGGAAATTCAAGTGAAAATTTGAGCATTCGTTTAGATCTCATATTTTTAAACATCATCGCTACTGCATCTTTAGGTTCAGGTGGTTTTGGTGGAACAAAATCGCCATTTAAATATAAACCAATTGATTTTGTTGCACGACTACAAGCGACGTATAATTCAGATCTTGTCATCCCTTTCTTTAAATTGACAACAACTTTTTCATAAGTACCACCTTGACTTTTATATATAGTCATAGCTTCACAAGGAACTAAAGGAAACTGTTTACGTTCTACTTTGAAATTAGTTGATCTTGTATTTATTTGTCGTACTACTGGTTCAACTGGTGTGAGACTGAGATCAATATTTCTGTTTCGCATTACGTTGTGAAAGTTAGCTCTAGCCTTTCGCCCAGTCTTCTCTTCATTAAATTTAATCCATAGTCGACATGGAACTGTTTCATTTGTCTTTTGAAGTTTTCCATAATCAATCGCTATCAATTTTCCACAAGCACCATTTACTAAACCATCTTCAGTATCGATATTCACTGTCATCATATACTTAGCGCCCACTTTCAAATCAATTTCAAGTGGTAAGCCGTACGTTTCAGTTGTTTTCAGATTCTTTACGTTGTTTAGAACTTTTTCTCTTATTGATGGAAGTCCATCACCAACACAATAATCATAAGCATTAGCGATTGCACCTTCGGTATTGAGCTTAGACAATACTATTCTATTATATGCATCAACTTCAGCATTACTTCTAAATATTCTTATTGCATCTCCAATCGTTTCTAAATTTTCAGTTGAAACAATTCGTGACTGTAACAGATGAATATATTCAGCTGTCATCGTTCCTTTAGCTAAGTTACTTAACGCAATGGCAAAAGTTTTATCATCTTTTAGTCTCATTATTTCTGTCAATTCGAACAATTCAAATAGTGACCATAATGAACTATCTACTAAAGCATTATATGAATTATTAAACTGGAATATGTATTTATCCCCAACTGGTCTTAATTGATTGAAATCGCCTAAAACCATGACTGATATTCCACCAAATGGCTTTTTTGTTCTTATTATTTGCTGCAAACGTGCATCGATATGTTGAAACATTGTAAAACCAACCATTGATATTTCGTCTATTATTAATAATTGCAAGTCTTTCAATTTTACTCCTATTCTATTCGAAATATCACTATTTAATTGAACGAGTTTATGTTTGCATTGATTGACTGGTAAACTTAAAAATTAATGCAACGTCATTCCATCAATTAGTGCTGCAGCTTTACCAGTTGGCGCACAGAGTGCAGTACGAATAGTTTCTGGATTACATCCAGGAAGAGAATTATAAAATCTCAGTATCGACTGATATATTGCTTTGATCAAAGTACTTTTACCAACGCCTGCGCCGCCATTAATAAAATGGAAAAATTGCTTATCTCCATTTTTTATCAATTTCATCACATTCAAAGTATATCTTCTTTGATTATTATTGAGACTTCTCATCATTTGCTGATATTCAGTATCTGGTATTACTTTGGGAACATTAAAATTCTCAACTTTTTCAGTTTGGGTCTTTAGTCCCATTTCAACAAAGATATCGCCTTCATTGTTTCCTATTTCATAAATGAGGAATTCATTCTTATCTTGATCATATTCAATATTTGTATCCTCAATATCATTCTCATCTTCTCTTTCCATATGCTCTTCAAAAGCTTTCTCAAATTCATTGGCTTCACGATGAACATATTCAGATCTTTTCTCTTGAATTAAATCTTTATGTAATTCAAATGTCTCTTCATGGTTTATAGAAAGAAGATCTTCTTCTTCATTACTCCATGGTAGAAATAGCATCAACTGCTCTCTGTAGTAGTTTTCAGGATCTTGGTGTAACTTAAAGTATCTGTATCTTATTATTTTTTTCTTTGTTTTTTTTTTGATCCAACCTTTTCCATTTTTCATCTTGAAAGCAGTAATTTTTTCATTATTTTCATTTTCAGTAACATCTTCATCATCAGAATTTTCCGCAATTGGAGCATTATCTACTTTTCTCTTTGACACATTATACAAGGAAGCAAAATCAGCCAGACAAACATCTTTCATTTCGTCTGGTCTATTAATGTACATGTCAATTAAACCTTCAACAAAAACATCTTTTGAATCAGGCTCTAGTTTCTGCAGAATTTCATCTGATTTTAGCATAGAAATTCTATTTTCGGGTCTATTTGTATTAATAAATACAGTACTCCTGCTACTGACGGAAAGTGGAATACTTAAAATATGATAAACAGCTTCTTGTGCTGAAATTTCACTTGAATTCAAAAACTTATTTGCAATAACTCTAAGACGTTCTTTGACTGTGTGATTGCCTTTTTTTAGCTCGTTCAATGCTTCCCTTAGAAGCTTGGACATTCCATTTTCAGATTTGTTGATGTATTCAACACAGTACTTTAAGCATGCATAAGGATCAAGAATATATTGAATGTCCATATTTGCTCTATGCAATGACATTATCATTGGATTGTATGCATTGATTCGGGTCTCATTTGGAGCACGTTTTAAGAATACTTGCGCCTTTTTTAATCCAGCTCGAATCATTTTAATATACTGTTCTTCATTCATATTAATTTTTTTCAAAAATTCTTCAAAAGTTAATGAAGTATCTTTATCTTTTGATATTCTGTCAAGTTCTTCCTTTACATTCTGTCTACTCTTACTTATCTCGTCACGTTCTTTTTTAGAGAGCTTTTCATCATCACTAAATGGTTCTAATATCATCGTTTTACTCATCGGAAAATATGGAATACCAAAACGACATATTATACAACCGTTTACATGTTGTTTACAAGTATGTGAGTGCTTATGACGTTGTAAACTGATAAGTACTTCAGAAAATTCCGTTGGCTGAGAACTAACCGAAATCAATTTATCAATAAATTCTACACATTTTTCAATCGATTCAGGATTATTTTTGTCATATTTTGGAGCATTCTTTAACCACAATAAAGCATGAACATGTGGTGAACCACGAACTTGAAATTCAGTTCTGACATATTTGTCTACTAATTCATATCCTTGAAATGGACCACAAGGAGCTGATAATATTTCCCATAAACATTTTAATTTATGTTCAAAATAGCGAACACATGTTACCGAATCTTGTCTTATCAATTCGCATCTCTTCTCATAGCTCAAATTTTGTGCTTCTTCTAATGTTATTACTTTATTTTCTAACACTTTAGTCAATATGACAAGAAGTTCTGACCACTGTGTTTCAGCAGCTGATAATGTTAAAAATATTGTTGCACATTCTAATTGCCTATTCATGGCCATAAGTTCTTTCTTTTTTAGTTCCCAGAATGCTGGTGAAGATCGATCAAATCTTAAGAATGCAAAAGCATTATCATTATGCACTAATCCATTCACATAATCTCGATTAAGCATTTGTGTAACAGTTACGTTTTTCGTATTTTTTGTTTTTCTTAAATTTATCGAAATAGCATCAACGAATTTTCTCGTTTGTAGTTTCTTATATGTAAAAAAGAGTTTTGACACTCTACCACATCTTCTATCAAACATTCTTAATTCTGATTTAGCAATTTTAGCATACGTTAGTTTGACATTTTCTTTAATTTTCCGTTGTTTTCCACAATAGATTTTTGGAAATGTTAGCTCATCGACTTTCAAATCCATTAGAATAGATATCGGTCTGTTATTCTCTCCTGGAGCAAATTTAATACCAATGTCATTTTGATCCTCGATCTCATCATTCAACAACGTTTCAGTAACTACTGGATTAATTGGTTTATCGTCACTTTCATTCCAATTATCATCATGATCAGAGTCTTCTCCCGTATTTTCAGTTTCATTAAACTTTTTATCATCGTTTTTGACTATGAAATTTTCTTTTTCATTTGGATACTCTTTAATCCAATCATTAGATATAACAATACCTTCATCTTTATAAAGTTCTTGTTGAACAAGATATTTAACAGCTGTGTGTACGACTTTTGGTCGAATGGTTTCATACATAAAAGCATTTTTATTTTTCATTTGTCTCATTAGTTTCAATTGAATCGTGTAAGTATCACTAAAACTTCTAGGTAATATTGAAACATTCGTGTCAACATTCATGGGAACATTAACTAAATTACCTTTGAGACCAAATTGTTTAGAAAAGCCTAAGGTTCGAATTACCATAAAAGGAATTCTTGGCGATATCAATCTTTCTTCTGATTCAATCAAGATTTTCAAGCAATCCGGTATTTCATAGAATGCTAAACCATTAGATAGAGCGAGATTAGGTATTTTATTCGACATGATGTCCTTTCGACAAGTAGCACATAATTCGATAATTTCATGTTTTAGATAACAAACTGTGTCGATGAATTCCTTTTTTAATCCTTTCTTTGCTAACATCTCAACTGTATATTCTCTGATAGAATACGCAAACCATAAACCACCACAGCAACTACAAATATGAGTAGGCCCTTCTTTTATATCTGATTCATAATTTGATTTCATAGCATCAAAATTATTTTTATATTTATCTCTACTGTTGTACATTCTTAGTGCATTTCTTCTTCTCTCTTCTTCTTTGAATTCATCATTTTGTCGTTCAATTTTATGAGCTTCTGCTCTTCTTTTATTATCTTGTGTTTTAAACTCATCGCTTTGTCGTTCGATTTTATGAGCTTCTGCTCTTCTTTTATTATCTTGTGTTTTAAACTCATCGCTTTGTCGTTCGATTTTATGAGCTTCTGCTCTTCTTTTATTATCTTCTGTTTTAAACCCATCATTTTCTCGTGAAATTTTAAGAGCTTCTGCTCTTCTTTCATTTTCTTGAGTTTTAAATTCATTATTTTGTCGTTCAGCTTTATGAGATTTTGCTCGTCGTCTATTGTCCAACAAACGAAATTCATCGTTGGCTCTTCTTTCTCTCATTATCTTTGCTCTCTCGACATTTCTTTGAGATATAGATCTTCTTTTTATCTTCGGCATTTTTTTCAAATTGTTCAAAAACTTATAAGTTTAATAACAAATTGAAAAATATTTACTGTTTGTTCTTTTAAATGATACAAACAAATCCACTAATCTTTTCGAATTGTAAAATCTAAATAGCTAATAATTGCCGTCTGTAGGCTTCTTTTCGTGATTTTACTTCTGATGCGACTGATTTTTTCGGTCTGTAGATAATTATATAAGATGTGACTGAATTATACCTTAAAAGCTTTAATAGTCACCGCTTCGCGTTCAATTCAAATTCGTATATATATATATAATAAGTACGCTTTGTACTTGGTTAGAAACGTGTATATCTCTGAACTTGTTGAGATAAACAGTGGAAAAGTTTCTTTCGAGAAAATCTTCGTTAGAACTTGGTGAAGATACTCGATTCTAAGTAAGAAACTTTTCCAAGTCAAAAAATCGATAATTTTCTTTAAACAAAAAAGTTTAATCTATTTTTTTATTTGTTTGAAAAAATTTAATTGATATTTCTAATTTATTAGAAAAAATTCAAGGTATATTTTCTTCTTTTATTTCTTTTATTTCTTTAAAAAAAAATTAATTAATTTTTTAATTTATTAGAAAAAATTCAAGTAACGTTTTATTTTATTTCGTTGAAAAAAATTTAATTGATTTTTTTAATTTATTTGAAAAAATCCAAATAATATATTTTCTTTTATTTCCTTGAAAGAAGTTAATTGCTGTTTGTTTTAATCGTATGAAAATAGTTATGATAACTAAATCTAAAATGAGAAAGACAATAATTAAAAACGAGCTGAATGGTACACGAAAGTGATTTTCATAACACAAATGGTTTTATTTTCAAATAGAAATATACATCAGATTGAATTTTCTTTTAATTTCATTTTTTTCATTTTCTTTTACTTATTGCAATATATGAAATAATTATGGATTTAAGAACAATAAGTAATTGAAACACAGGTGCTATATTAGTGATTATAGAATTATTTAATAATTCTAGAGAAATCTAAATGATTGTAAAAACTAGGCATCTACGATAGTAAAATGTTTTATTTATTTAATATAAGATATCCTGTATATAAACAATTTCTTGGTTATTAAAACATGTTACTATAGAAATTTTTTTCTTTATTGATTAACAAATGTAAATAACAAATATGAACAAATGTGAATAACAAATAGGAACAAATGTCAATAACAAATGCGATAAATAACAAATAGGAACAAATGTGAATAACAAATAGAAACAAATGTCAATAACAAATGTGATAAATAACAAGTATGAACATATGTGGTAAATAACAAATGTGATAAATAAATAATTTTGCTGTTTCACATGAAGACGAATGAAATGAACTTGACCTATTATTTCTTATTTAGAGCTTCCCGGAATAATTCGGTGCTAAAAGAAAATATAGTTTAATTTAGATTAAATAAAAAAATTAGATTAAGTATCATACATAGTTTGTTTAAAAAGTTCTGAGGAAACTTGTTCGTTTTCTTTTTCGCTTTTCTTTCTGGGGATTTTAGATAACTTGGATATTGTATCTACATTTCGTTCAACGATTTGTATATTAATTGCTTCTAAACCACGTTGGGCTAGAAATCAATAAAATATTATTTATTTTTTTGTTAAACTAACATAGCTTACTCCGTATTAAATCAAATTTACATGTATCATGTAAAAAAAGTTTTCGTTTATTTATGGGTTCATTTATGATGCTGATTTCACGAGCAAAAATATCTCGTGAATGCATATTATTTTTTCTAAATATATAAAAAATATATAAAAAAATTTAAATATTAAATATAGAAGCTGATTAATTTTTACCGTTTTATGAAGGCGTAATGTCTTAATCGATTTACAGTTATAATTGTACCACAAACACCCTTTTCTAAAAATCGCACGATTTTTTTATTTTAAATTTTTTAATTAAAATAAAACAAAAATACATTACCAATAATAGCTGCTTGATCACCATCACCACGAATAGATGATTGACCAGCACTACCACGAATAGCCGCTTGATCACCATCACCACGAATAGATGATTGACCAGCACTGGTAGATGGTTGACCAGCACCAATATGAATAGCTGCTTGATCATCATCGCCATCACGAATAAATGGTTGACCAGGACGAATAAGAACACCTGGTTGACCAGGAACACCACGAGGAATTGGTTCAGAAGTTGTTAAATCTGTATTTGTTTCTTACATTAATAATTGATTGGATTAATTTTGTTAAACTGAAATATCGATATATAAGATATATATCTGAATGATTTAATTTAATTAAAATTTTTTTACTAAATGATCTTGCTATTTCAATATGATGTGAATTGAGAAGACAATAATCAAATGTGTTATGACTAATTTCAATACTTTAGTGAGCGATTGACTCTGCTCATGAGTAAATAAATCAAAATATTGATTTATCAAAAAAATCATAGAGAATCGTCACCATTAATATTAGTTTCATTGGAATTATGTAAACAATTAAATACATATTTATCATTAAGTAAAATAAATCATGAAAGAATTTTAAAATTCAGTGAAATGATTCCAATTTTAAGAAGAATTGTATTTAAAAGACTTCGATTCACATCATTACATTCAAATGAAACATTTATTAGATTATTAATCAATTAAATATCTAAATCAGTTTTAGGATATTCTTAACGACCTAGACAAACATGTCCTTTATCTCAATTTATTACTTATGTTCATAAAAGATATATTAAATGTCAAAATTTTTCTCAAATTTATCATTTTACTTTTTTTAAATTAAAATAGATTTAAAAATAAAAAACAAAGTAAATATGTTTTGTCTCTTTTTGAGTACACATAACACTCGGATGTATATCCGAGGTTTCCGCATTTATTTAAGTCTTACTATTGACGAATTATCAAAATTATTACATTTTTTAGAACCACCTAAACGTACATTATATGAGATTTTATGTCAAAACATTTATTGTAAATTATATTTTGATGTCGACATATATGTAACAAAATCTTTATCATTAAATATTCATGAATCACTTAAAATTTTACAAACTTTATTTCATGTTGTTATTGCCAACTGTACTAATGAATTTACAAATCATTCAACATCAATTGCCGGTCATTTTCTTGTTTTAACTGCATCGACAGACTTAAAACATAGTTATCACTTAATATATACCAATACATTTGTACGATTTCAATCGCAACAAACTGTCTTTAAGTTTATTACAACGGTATTATATCATTGTTCACATTTTATTCGATCCCATTCATGTCATCAAAATTTATTGAAATCAATTAATACACATACAGAAAAAAATTTGAATAATTGTCTTCAAGATTTACAAACCATTTTAAGTCATACAAATTTCTGTAACTGTATAATACCTACAACTGCTATAACTTGCAATAATTTCCAAAAGCATCTATATAAAAGTACTTCAATGTTTTCCTAGTTTAACTAATTTATGTATTTTTATTTTTATTAGATTCCAATAATATGTGAGGATGAAAAGATGAAGATGATATTCCTCTCTGTTTATTCGTATAAAAGCACACGCTATATATATGATGGTGGAACACCCTGTAAGGGAAATGTCCAACATGAGATCAAGGG